ATAAATGTAACGGTGAATATTGCCGATAATTACGCATAATACGGCCATTTATTATTTAATGGTGATGGTTGACGCCTTAAATATTATCCGGTGAAATATTCGGGGTCGAGACAAGACGACAAAGGAATCATCGTCTCAGCCGAATACCTGCCTAATCGGCTCTCAGAGACGGTATGTGGACGTAGTCTCTTATTACTCACGGCGGTGACGTCACCGATCAATGCATGCATGCATGACTAATACGCGGTAAAAAATCAAGCGCGCGGACGATAACTAAAGTAAACAAACATTATTGGTTCTTTTTCTTAGAAACACAACCGAAGTCCGAATCGGACGAAGTATCGATTACATTACTCAAATTACGCTTAACATTATATGTCGTATACTGATGACGTCAGTGACGTAAAACTAATAGTTACTTTTTTTATTATTAGTCATTGATTACGAACTCGACGGCGCAGTGATGGTTATACATTAGATCCGCGATGCGGGTTTGAGTAGCTTTTGGTGCCGGTCAATGGATAGGAGCTCGATGGCGAAGTGGTTAGCGCGCTCGGTCTGCGATATGGTTGAGCAACTTTCGCTTTGGCCAGTCATAGGATGGGTGACCAAAAAATTTATAATTTCGAACTCCTTGCTGGTTAAGCCGTTGCTCCTGGCCGCATCTGCAGTTGTTAACACCCATCAACAACGGGGATTGCGTGGTGGGTCCATTCTCTCTATTCGATTCGATTTGATTCGATTCCATCCATAGGGAAGGCTTGAGCCCCAGCAGTGGGAACATTAATAGGCTGGTGATGATGATGATGATGGTCAAAGGATGGCTAAAAAAAATCGGAAAATAACTATTAATAAGCACAAAGGCGATAAACAATTTCAAGAACTTTATTTTGCTGGCAAACCACACCAACTACTGAGGTCGTATAACTGAGTTATGTTAGCATTTCCTGATAAAACAACTTTTTTTGTAAAGACATAAAAGTATGAAGTGTCTTTTATGAAGAAAAAAATTCAACGAACATGAATTTTTCATGGTCATAATACCTTCATACATGATGAGTAAACTTTCTTATTGAAAAATTTAACGTATAATATTTTAATTTAACTCATTCTTTTACGTTATATATAAATTATATATCTTTCTGCCCTTCTTCACCCATATTCTATATTAGAGAAGTTATCTGAGACAACGAATGAACTACATCACTCATAGAGACAATATAGAAAAAATTTCTACATTAACTCGACCTGGATCGGACCCCACACCTTGAAACCGACTTGCGAACCATTCAAAAATTAAATTTCGTATATTTTTGTGCTGTAAATACTGATGGTTATTTCAGAGTTTGAAAAAACATTCAGTTTTGATATTTAATAACTCAGGAGACAATAAACAATTTTTACTTAGAAGCAAAGACATCTGTGAATCCTTATTGGGTACCGATTTTTACCGTTCGAGAACTAGCATTACGATGTGAAAGAAAGCTGTTAGTCAAGCGCAAGTCGTAAAAGTCGTTCGAGTCGTGTTTAATGTCGTAAGAATTTAATTGACGACATATCACTATTTGGAACAACCAGTGACATGAGACGTTGATGTCCAACTATAAATGTGACTTTAATATACCTTCTTAGGCAGCACATCAGTTTTGATGACATGTTACTTGAAACTTTACCGTAACTCTTCTGGTACTGCATAAATATAGACAGTGCAACAAACAGATACTTACTACATGTATTGTGTACGTAGGAGGGTCACTATCGCATATTAATTAGCGCAATTGACCAACGATTGCGGAGGTTAAGCGATATTTGCAAGTGACTGAGATAAAATGGGTGACCAAAAATATTATTATCTCTAATTTCTTCACGCTTTGGAAGGCTGATGACCTCAATGCCGATTATATTTGCAGTTGTTAACCGACAATATAGCTCATTTCTACTGTATTTTCATGTTGTGGCCGGTATTCAGACAGTGAAATAAAATAAATGTAATTATTTTATAATGTACAGTGCTATATTATCCTATAAGTAAAATAAGCAATTTCTAGCAGTAAATATAAGGCTGTTTGAAGATCCGCGAGTCTTTCATTCTACGTATCTCTTTTTATCTTCATATATCATTCTCGTTGTATTAAATATGTATATTTTAACACCGGACATGGGGAATAAGAGGAGGGCACTGATAAATATTGCTTAGAGCATCAAGTAACTTTAATCCGGTCCTGAAAATCTGCATTAATATTACTGTCATTTACTTTTCCACTGCCGCATAAGTTGTTAAATAAGATATAATGGAAAGTATAAAGCAATTTTAAATAGACGAGCCACCTTGCTTGTTTAACAGGTAATAATGCGTATCTCGAGTGCTAAAACAGTGCAAGCAGTATAAATAAAAGATATTTGGATAAAAGTTATCTGAATAAAACTGATACTTACAGCTATTATTGAAGTCTAAAGGATTATGAATGGGCTAATAGAAGATTTTTGGATAGGCTGAAATACTAAAATTAATCTGATCGAGTAACTAAATGAATAACGATATACGACTGTATATGAATAAGATTTGAAATAAGTTAACAAGAAAGAAAACTGTCTGGTTATTCATAACAAACAATACGTAGTTATGTTAGTTAAAAATATTTACTTAACTATATACGCAACTTCAAACAATTTGCTAGTTATTTTACAAGATTTGTAATTCGAAGAACCAAACGGAATTCTCTTAAATGTAATTATTAAATAAACACCAACATCCTCACAAGAAGTAATATTTTCAGTCGTTCTATTTTAAATAAAAGGCTAGACATACCAATCTACCGTCTCGGTTAGTAAAGAATTAAGAACACATTAGCAACCCGCTATATAGATAAACTAAAGAAATACTTTACTTGTAGTGCCCATTTGTAAAATGTCACATAAGGTAATACCTATCACGCAGTCATTTACGAGTGCACAATGATTATTTCGTAAAAATATCTAATTAATATAAGTAGCTTGTGGGCATGTGATGACGAGAGATGACTTGTGTGCGACAAAAACCTAAATAAAAATCGGAAAATAACTAATAATAACCACAAAGGCGATAAACAATTTCAAGAACTTTGTTTTGCTAACCATACTTTTAAACACCCGACTTCAAATTTTAGTTTTCACTTTTAGTTTCTCTTTAGACTCTTCGTAATTCGTAATTCTTTATTTTACTAAAATTTCTATGGTATTATTTTGAAAGTATAGGTAACTCCACGGTAACTCTTATAAATAAATAAAGAAATGTTATGAAGTACACATCCATAATACAGTCTAATTGATAACCTCCTCGAGTTTTTGAACGTGATTAAAATAGCTGTAATCTTAATTGTGGGTAGGTGGTAGATGTAGCACGAGAAAAATTTAGATTGCGTGAAGATGATGTGATTAAAGCAAGTAGCAGACATATAGATGACGGCTAATCAAGAAGTATGGAAGGAGAACAGATTGACACAAAATAAAATTAGGCTTAAAGGCTAAAAAGAAAATCTGGCTATGAGAATAATTGAATATTGCTGATGACAAAGACTTAGGTATCTGAGGATGTCATCGCGGGAAACGAATATTAGGCGACAATCGTCACTGTGTAAAAAAAGCGAATATAAAATTAATGTATAAACAAAACAGGGCACTTACATGGCCTTGAAATAAAAAAAAAATCCTATAACTTCCAGAAAAAAATGCAGCAGACATGCAGTTTTTCGATTTTAATACGTAAAGTAATAATCATAGAAATGTAATAAAACAAGAAGGAAAATTAAGGAAGGATACATTTGCAATATCTATTGTATAGTAGGTATGCAACCACATAAAAATTTATAAAAAAATATGTCGTGTTTACAACGTAGTTTTATGACAACAATGAAGGTAACATCACTGTGCTAACACTTATTGTGTACTGAATAGAATTAATGAAGATGTAAAGAATGGCAGGATTGTCAGTTGAAGAGCGACTCGAGTTCGACCTCTTGATTGGCGCCACGAGACGCGTCGAACAAGGCCGAGCAAAATGATCACTTAAGCTATGCAGAATAAAAAACCTTCGAATATCGTTCAACACAAGGCTCTTTGTTAAAATGAGAAAATTTTAATGAATTATCTCGTATTTACGTACTTCTAAATGAATGTGAGTAACTACGTTATCCTAAACGAAATTACTGTACCTAAGTCCTTCATAGCAAGCTTCACAGAAATAAAAATTGTAATAGCAAAGATAATTTAGATACAATAGATGCGACGTACGAAGTATTGGTAGATACTAAATGATACTCTAATTTATTATCCATCAACTATCACTTATCATACAGAGCAAAGAAATTAGTTGTGACACTAAAACTTAAGTCAACATGAACATATTAGTTGAACTGAATACACCAAACATTTACGTACTCAATTGAAATTCTTTAGATAATAATATTATTGTACCTATTCGGCCACCTAACTGATAGACTTTAAAATAAAAGGAGAGAGGTATTCGTCGTAGCTCAAAGCTAATGAAAATGCACTGTCGATGTCTAACTGATCTTATCAGCGAATTCTTTGACTAATCAAATTTGTTGTACCCACCTATCTCGGAATGGGATCTGCGGCTCGAGAAAAACGATAAACTATTCAGTTATTGTTTATTCCTTGCATAAATAAACGAAAGTTTTACTCTCAGCCTCCTTTCACTAATGTCTTTCGGTTTGCACTTATCTCGATCTTAGATAAAATAGATCGCACGATGTCTGACTGCTTACCGGGTCCACGGTGCGGTCAACAGAGTCGGCCCCGAGAGAAAATAAATCTTCAATTGGGTCGCTCAAATGCCAGCGTTATGTTTTGGCGTAATACGTTCTTAATCGTGCTTTCGTTGAGTCCGCTTTCATTCTACAAGCAGCCTATATGGTTCCGCTTGCCCCACCTTCGCATCTGATTCACGCAACGTTTTGTAATGGTATTGGTTAACATGTTGATGTTTTTTTTTTCCACAGATGGCACAGTTGATAACTGTGCGGCTGAATAAGTCCGACCAGCAGCCGTTGGGCTTTCGGCTGCAAGGTGGCAAGGACTTCGGCACACCCCTCGTCGTGCAGAAGGTCAGTTTATATAAGTTATACTCGTAATAAACTTGATAAAACCTTATTTCGACTCAACATTCGCGTAAGTTAAAATACAAACGTATGAACTTGGATAAATGCATGAACACATCATAAAATTTCTTAAAAAAGTTTATATAGTTATACAAGAAAACCAAATAAGTGCTTTAAATATTTATGTCAAAATCCGTGATACAGTAGCGCAAACGCCTGTATTGATAAGAACTCCAACCTCATGTGTCATGTTTGGTAGAGGCATGAAAATGCCAGAGGCATATTATGCCTCATCTGATAGAACTGGCACGAAAGAATATTAATAACTGAATACCTCCTGTTAAAAAGTGAGGAGCGGCTTGAAAAAAGAAAAAAATACAGAATGTGTATCAAAAAGCTTTAAAAGTGTACTAAATCATCTATTTTGATGGGCAAAAAACAAAATATAAAATATGAGGACATAAAACCTTTATCTAATGTTGTTATCAAGACTTTGTAATTTGCAGTCCGTCGTGTAATTTTCCCTTTACTAGCTTCACCTCTGTGGATATTTTAGCAGGATAATTAGTTTCCTCGTAAGGATAAGTAATCCAAGAACATATCTACTCCTACCTTTACTATATATCCTCGCAAATTTTATTTTGTTGCGAACTATGATCATAACAAATTCATTTTTGAAATTTTTATCATAAACAAGTTGTGAACTTGTTATTTCATGTGGGATGGGAATCTCAAGTCTGTACTCTTTCAAACAAAAAAGAAAACAGAAAAAGTGAAAATCTCCTCTTTTACAAAATTGTATTTCCAATAACATTAAAAAGTTGCTTAGGTTAATAAACTGTCGATCATATTTTCCAGAAAAAAAAAGTATTACTTAATACTATAATACGCATATAAGAAAAACAAATAAATTTCAAAAAAACGAAGAAAATGCATTTGCTGCTCTGAGATTGGTATACGAATTTTGTATATCCTTTACGTATTTGTGATGTACACATACCACTAAAAAGGTTTTACCAGCTCATTAGCATCAGTTACTGCCTCCTAATAAATAACTCTGACATTCATTCTTGACAATTCTTTAGACCTATTGATAAGTAGACAGATAAAACAAAACTGTAGCTGACTGAGGTTATTGAACGTCGAAACCTACTTTAGTCCAACAAATAGGAAGCAAGTAAGTGAAGAAATACATTACAGACAAATAATATATATTTGGATTAAATAAAATAGCAATATAAAAAGAAAAACTATAACATCACTAATAACCGAGTCTAGTTTTTCTGAACTTCCCAATTTTTTAAGGAACTTTTAGAAATTATGTCTCTTCCTCGGAGAGACCTCATTCGACAATATTTCAGAATGGCCAGTAGTTAAATGATATATGTCATTAAAGTTTATAGGATTCCGTGTCAAAGGGAAAAACGGAACCCTTATTAGAAACACTTAGCTGTCGGTGTGTGATGGGACTGACACAGCCTATTTTCTCAGATACTGCTGGACCGATTGAATTGAAATTTTGTTACACATATCGTCGGAGTAAATAAGACATGGTCCACCCGGCTTCTTCAATAAATGGATGCCTGACAACATAGTAAAAATTTGAATGCATGTCTAAAATGGTAAAAATAATCTTCGGCAAAATAAATAATGTTTTGAATTATTTATGACACTATAAGAGTAAATCTTGGAAAGGAAAGAGAATTCTTTGTTATGAGATCTGAATCTCCAATAAAATCATGACCAGTATCTTGAGATCGTGATCTTGTTTTGCAGTAATGTCCAGGAACGTGGGCGAAATACTGTCATGTGTTTTCAAATAAAATTTCATATCTATGGGACACCTAAAACGAAACATGTATTGTTAAGAACAAGAAATCGTGATCAAGATTATTTTCTAGAAATAGTGCTATTATCCGTTAGTGTTATCTTAACTTTTGAAAGAAAAACAAAAAACACGAATTGTACGTGCATTACAATCATAAATATTCATGACATTTTTACCATGATTGTTTATTAATTTTATTACATCGCCAAAATGAAACGAAATATCGGAGATTCGTTAGATACTTTTTCTTCTTCTCTGTCGTTTCGCTCTTGGCAGAGTGTCGTCACGTTGAAGCGTCTATGTTAATGTTAGAGGAGGACTACCTCACGAACTCTTCCTATCTCTCTCTGCTTGCAGATTGTCTGACGTAGTCTGACACCTGGTTACTCACGGCGGATTCCACTTTATCAGTCCAGCGCATGGATGATCTGCCACATGCACTGGTCCTTTCTACCTAGATACTAACATGGTAGCAATCCCAAAAAAAAATGTCCATGAAAGTTATGAAGTTCAAAGTTATGGACGAAACAAAAGTACTTTTAAGAAGTCTATTTGAATAAAGATTATTTGGACTGAACAAGTTTGAGCAAGAATTCTACGGTTCATGAATATCTGTGATACCTTACCGATAATAATTAAGTGGGTACCTATTCATCAGATTTTAATTGTAATATCTTTTAGGTCAATTCCATTGATGTTAATTTTAAATAGACACGCATCTCAGAGACACGATCCAGCGTGATTATTTACAATATAACGAGCTGTAATGGTGAACTTAACAGAACAGTAACGGTATATCTGCATGACTTATCGTCGGATTACTTATGACTGCTAAGTTTAGTTGCTTATAAGTAATACAACTCGATAGCACTGACAACATAGCTCCTTACGGGTCACTGAACCAACGAATCTCGTAACTGGTATCTCTCAATTGATCAGGACACCAAAAAAAAACATTGAAACACCTAAGTAATAACATTTCCGAGAATTTTGTAAAATTTTCGCGTGTGGGTGTTTCGCTAACAAAATCACACGATCCTTTAATGGTACATATACAGATTTGACATCCAGATTTTGTTAGCGCACATTGTAAATGGTCACCTCATCGACTTCTAAATTATTTACATAAAATGTAGTGCGAATTCATACCTCCAAGAAAGGCAATAGTTCAATAACACGACGGTAAGGTGGTGAGGAGTTCGATGGCGCAGTGGTTAGCGCGTTCAGTTAAGCAACTTTCGCAATGGCCGGTTATAGGATGGGTGACCAAAATTTTATTAACGGCTGCGCCTGCAGTTTTTAATAACAGGGTTCGCTAAAATCCGATATTTATAATAAGTATTAGGATAACCGATATATATCGGATAGTATAATCGTAGAATAAATATTATAAATATCATTTGATATATATCAACGTATCATAATGGATATATATCATGATATGTATATAACCTTTGATATTTATCAGTCGCGAAAGATTCAAGTGAATCGGTAAACAATCGATGAACATACCTACACACAACAAAAAACATTAAACAAATATTCAAATTGAACCGATTTAATAGGCTGTTAAAACGCTTGACCTCCTTACTGATACCGTTAAATGACAATCAGCTAAGCAAAAAAATAAAGCTGATTCTAAAATCTAAATAATATGATAAATGGTCAAGTGCTAAAAATATATTGGTCTGAGTACCATTTATAATATTTCGAATTTTCGTTAAATTTATTGGGATTTACTATGTTTCATTAATTTTGCACTCATGATGCTATACAAGACAATATTCTTGATGAAAAATGCTTAAAAGATCTACTTTGTCCATGGTACTCCGAGATGGGATTCGAACCACGACCTTTCGTGATCCAGACGACTGCTCTAACCACTGAGCTTCTATCGCTTAGTAACAAGCGCTTGAAAATATGTCAGATCTCTCAGGTCCTGGTCCAGTATAGCATTGTGAATGCAAAATTTATCAAATATTATACCAGTGACAAAGTAGATTTTTTAAGTATTTTTCATAAAGACTTATTGTGATTTACTCATTTTTTGTGTCAAAGTTCTAATTAGAAATTCAAAACATGTCTCTCGAAATTTAAAGCTAAACTTAAACTGCAAATATTGACCCATTTTAATAATTCTCATATGACTCACGCCATTTAAATAGAAAATTTATGAGAATAATAAATATAATATTTTTGTTAGACCTGACAAACAATGAGCCTCGTCAGATATCTAAAATTTATAGGATCTTAGGAAAAAAAATTTCAGATCAAAAATCTATTTTTATTTACCTATATAAAAATAACGTCATTAACTAACTAAGTAAAATATTCCGACAAACGATGTAAGGTTTTATTCATGTTTAAAAAATGGAACACACGACACCAATAAAATAAGACAGGTTCCATTTAATTAAAACGACATTCCCGAGTGTATGGATAATTATTGATCTACCGAGGGCATCCTTACACTTTCTCTAGCGTCTTCTTCTTCAAGGGGTCCGACCCGTTAATGTAAGTATTAATAAACGCTATTGTACTTTTTTTTTTAAGGCGAGCATCATAATCTCATAAGCCATTGTCATTTATAAAGTCATTTCATCTCCTGATATGGATGAAATAAACACGCAATCAGATTCCTCAATTTAGCAACGTGTGTCATAGTTGTTATAATTTAGCACCCATATATGAGAAGTTTATAAAAACGAATAACTATGTATGCGCAAACTGGACACATTGCCTGATGGTAATGCTATTTTTGTACCAGTTTCTTTGTAATGCAGACCAGTATTACGTCGTCTCTTGCGCATGTAAAACCTGTTATGTGATTTTTCGAAATTACTTTTCTGATACTTTTAATTTAAAAAAATTTTAGGGCACTTATATAACTCAAATTTGTATTCTGCACTCCAATATATTTTCAACATATGATCTTAGGTAATACAAAATTAGTGATGCTTAATAAAGTAATCGTAATTTTTTTTATTCCCTCCCGAAGACTTGGGTTGTTTCGCATTGCGATTTTGAAGGCCCAACAATGATTTAACTGTGAGGATTATAAACTTTATGGATTAAATATTTATTGTATATACCAGATTCACTCTTACTAGCCTGAAACCGGGTTGGCGGTGGTTGTTACGCAACTGGTCGGGTTGTGTTGTTTCCGAACACAATCTGAGTCACGTACCGACTGAGATTTGTTTTGAAATTAGAACACAAACTGGCGACAACGAAAACAACTACGCCTTTTGTGGATTATCGCCACCGGTATTTGTAGGTAATTACAATACACGTTTATCGTTATTGTGCCTACCACATCTGGATTACGCATCTATTGTACACAGCCCTATTAACAAGTTTGGTTACTTTCGGTTTAATATATTTACTATAGTTTGACAACAATAGATATTTATTAGTTACACTTTTGAACGAAACAAAATCGTTGAGAAAAGTACCTACAATTGGAAACTATTAATCTTAATCTAAAAAACTACCTACTTATTGTCTGTTTTAGACCCAGTGATTACTGAGATAGATCGAGGGAGGGTAATCAAATTTCGCCTAGTTTTTATTTCTCTTTCAAAATTAGTTAACTTTATTTCATATAGGTATGTGTAGGGTTTTATTCCTAACAACGTCATCCATTTATAATGTAAGTTCATTTCGGGGTGGGAGTTGTGATAGTCCAAGAGTTATAACGTTACAAAAACAGGTAAATTAAATCTATATACAAAGTGAAAGGTCACTCACTCAGTCACTCACTTAGCACGAAATCTCAGAAATTACAAGTTTCAAATTTTGCATGCGGGTTCATTTTGGGACGTTGGTGCTCCCTGAGATGGGATTTTATGAAATTTAACCCCTAAGGAGGTAAATTATGGGATGAAAGTTTTTATGGAATTTTGTAATTGCTGGACTTAAAACTAGATCCGTGCCGGCGCTGGTGGAAGTTTAGTAATAAATACACTTTAAAAAGTTCAATTTTAAACGTTCAAATTTGACATCTCGCGAGAGAATTTTAATCAATGCAAACATACAAACAATCAAACTTTGCCCAATCAATAATCCCGTCCACCGTCCATATAAAAATCAACCCCACATAATAATCATTACGTAAGAACCTAAAAGCAAAAATGAATATATAAATGAGTATACTAAAAAAATATATTCATTTTTGCTTTTAGGTTCTTACGTAATGATTATTATGTGGGGTTGATTTTTATATGGACGGTGGACGGGAGACCTCTTAAAACTAGAGTTCCCAAACCATGCGTTCCGAGAAGTTATTTGACCACGTTTTCTGACCATGGTGGCGTTGATTTTAAATGAATTAAAATTGATAAAAATTTACGTAAGTGTTGTTATTGTTCCATTTATAAAGTATAAAAATGGATTCAAAGTTAATGACAACTCTTTGGTGACAAAATTGACCAATAAGTAGGTATTATCGAGTAAAATATTTCATGTATGTGTGCCTAGTATTCCAGTTAAAATTGCTTACCTTACACTAAATGTTTTTATCAAAACAATACCGATCAATTTGTCTCACATTGAACTTGTTATAAAACAATGAAATAATTTATTACTTCATTGTCATATGAATTTTTGACGATCACCACTGTAATAAATGGAATGTTCATTGATAGGTTGTTTATGGGTCATTATAATTAATAATAAAATTAGGTGTAGTTACTTGTGTTACCTGGAAACCCAAGGGTGTTTATAATAGTTTCCAACCGTCCAGATATAACAGGACATGTCCCAGTTTTTGTAGTGTCCTGGCTGAGATGTCCTTGATAATATTTAAGCAGCGTGTTGTGTTTTTTAATTAGCGTCCTTGATATTTAAAAAAAGTCCTGAGACTTAAGACGCCTTGATAAGTGCATTTATTTAAAATTTCTTACGACTAACAAATTTTTGCACTGTGGGATGTGATCACTCTATATTTTTCTTTTTGTTAAAAATTAACTGCTGTATTACTATGTCCTATTTTTAAATTGCAACGTCCTTACTTCTTCAACTTTAGTCGATCTACTTTTTGAAAGTTGGAATTGGCAACCCTATATTATAGTTCTAACCTAACTAGTTAACTATGGGAAAGATAGGTCGTGAGTTGAAAAAATACGTTCAAGCATATGGTTCAAGTAAACATATACAGGCAGACAGGCAGTTCCGTTTTTACTCTTGCAGTTTTATAACTATTGATTATTTAATGTGTGGAAGTACTAAGGGTCGCTCAGTGCCCAATAAGACGTCGGGTGGTAGATAGTTGAATATTTGTTCCTCTAACTGAAAGTCTGGATATTTTTTCCGAACTAAGTAGGTAGTTTAATTTTGTATTTTCATATATTGAACTATTAGAAAACTCTTACATATGTCTGTTACGTGCTCTTGTATTCTAACAGATAAGTGTTAACCAGGAAGATACTTGTAAAAACAATCCTATTTTAGAAGTTGGTTAAAAAATTTTCGACCTTGTGTAGCGCCGCACTGTAAATTGTATTTAACTTCTGGGCCATTTGTTTCTTGATCCGCTGCCCTATTAGGCATGCACATGCGCCGCATTCGTCCACTGACAAAGAATATATTCCTTACACACACGCAGAAACGACATGTTTGCAATGTGCTCTAGATCTGTCTATCACCTAATCACGCGGTATAACCTGCCTGACGCAGCAAGGTGATGACAGATCAACGCATATTTAGATCAGTATCTTGACTTGAGTTTGCAATAGGATTTTGTTCTGCACTTGTTTATCATTAATATCTATTTATTACTTATCAAATATTACAATGATTAATGATGAATCTCATTAAACAATAGGTATGTAATTAATTTATTTACATACAATGATATCGATAACAATAGCTTCAGCTTAATAATAAGTATAAAAAAGTATGTAAGCTATAGTCACGAAAGTGACCTATACAGGTTATGAGATTTTATGATAAGAAATTCCATGGCATTATTTGATCTCAGTTTCCTGTTAAATTGACGGTATTTTAAAAGTACCTTCATAATTTTGCTGCTGTCGAGGGCATATCCTTACCATACCTGTCCAAGATTATATCTCAGACAACCACTAAACAAAAATATAAAAAACAAAATCAATTCTTAATTAATTCGTAAAAGTAAAATCTTGATTATTCAATGACCCGTGCTAAAGTAAGTTAAGTAAGATAAATCGCAGGATTCTTTTACCTATTATAAACTCTTTGACATATAAAGGGTTGCCAGACGCCGAGGTCATTGCCGACCGCTCGAGAACCGGAAGGAGGTTGTGGCTCGCACACTGTTCGCAGACAGCTGACTAATGAGTGGGGAAGGAAAACATATAAACGCGACATGTGCATAAGCGCGAGCTTAAAATACCGCGATCAGCAAACGTTAACAAACAGCAACTTGTCCAGCTATCTATATTTGTAACCAATTACATATAACAGTAATTTATAAAGTCTATAGACGCATTAAGCGATCCGTAAATAAAGTGTGATAACAAAAATAAAACAGTACGTTATGAAACATTTTTGAGTGAGTGCCAGCCAGCAGTTTATGTTCTTTGAAAGGTAAAGAATACATTTAATGAAACATCTTTAAAAAATCCATTTTGTCCCTGGCCCTCTGAGATGGGACATGACCTTTCGCAATCCGGGTACTGCTCTAACCACTGAGCTACCTAGGACCAAATAGAACTGACTAGTTTTTTAAGCACTTGTTACTTTTTTGTTACTACAGAGTATTTTCATCAATGTTCAGGCAATCCACTCAAACATCCGAAAGAAATTTTTTAACAAATATTTAAACTTTCGATATTGGCACTCTGTGATAACAAAGTGGAATTTTTAAGAATTTTTCATTAAGAATATTTTTCAGTAAAGCATTGTGAATGCAAATAAATAATAAGATAAGATCATAAAATAATTAGGTAAAGAATGTTTTTAAAAAGGTAAAGAGTGTTCTTATTAGGTCTCTTAATTCGCGTAATGATTCTGTATTGCGCGGGCGCTGAGCTCATAGTGTCATTCATAGTGATTAGCGTCGACGTCACACATCAACTTCCTTCCTTTCGCCTCGCGACTCTAGCTAGATAGTTTAATTAGGTCACAGAAACGGGAACGCTCGTGAATTATGATGTGCAATTTAAAAAACGCAAATGCAAACACTGACTATTCGTTGTATTACCTAGTCTATGAATAGAGAAGTTTCAGACGAGATTATTTTTTTGTTATCATTCAAAATATTTGTTTTTCCTGAATCTTTCTTCCCAAAAAGAAGAAACGAAGTATATTTCGAATTGTACAAGTGGTAGGGGAATTTTTTTTGGACGATTCAAAGTGCTTGAAATAAGCTTACTTAAATAAAGACAATTTCATTTCAATTTAACTTTTCCTAATCACATACTATATTTTTCTATTTAAAAAAACGTTAGAATCGTAATTCGATTTACAAGGCTCTTTTTTTAATGATTATGTACTCGATTTTAGGACTCGGGGAGTAATGGTCCGACAACTGAAAACTCACATACAGAGACCAACAAAAAGAACATACAGAGAGCTTTAGAGGGTGGGAAAGATTTCTATATAAGGCGGCTTTTATAAGTACTTAGACTGGAAGCTCGTTACAAAAATTTGCAAGATTTTTGTAATGGTTGCTATTTCAGAAGTGTAAGAATTAGGGGTATACAACTAGTGCGGAAGTCAGGTACTAGAACACCTGGGGCAGCACGCCGTAAAGAAACAGCTACAATTCAGTTTTAGATACTACTTTCGTATCAAATACTATAATAGATTATTGAAAGTCTTTATTCCTAATATTCTATACATTAATAAGCTAGTGATAATGGTGAAGGTTAGGTACCGATAGTAGCTCGGTGGCGTGGTTTAGTTCAGTGGCGTAGTGGATAAACGCCGCGGCCAGCAACGTTGTTGTAAAGCAACTTTCGCCAGGGTTGTTCACGGGATAGGTGACTCAAAAATGCACCAAACCGTTGGTCCTGGCCGCATTTGCTTACTCTGCAATCCATATTTGGTCTGGTTTGGAGGCTCATGGGCCATCCTTAACAATTAATAAGGAAGGTCTGAGCCTCTGCAGTGGAAACGTAACGTAACTATTGTTCCAGGTGAACGGCGGCAGTGCAGCTGAGCGAGCGGGCCTACAGGCTGGTGACGCACTCATCCGCGTCAACAACACCGATGTTTACACACTGCGCCACCAGGAGGCGCAGGACGCTATACGAGCGGCTGGCACAGCTCTAGAGCTCACTGTGCAACGGTAACATTTGACAATTTTATGTTTGTAGTTATTTCCGTACCTGAATCCTTTCAAGAACACTCGTATATCTACGTCTGTCCATCACACTGATTTGGTCAGAAACTACAGGACCGATCGAGTTGCATTTTGGTACCTCTTTGGGATATTATAATTAAGGTCTACTTAGCCTCAAACTTTGCTTTTAAATTTAGTAGAAGTAGCACAGAAACTCTAAATATTTAGAGTGCAAACAAATTATCAAAAATAATATTAACAGATTATTTTGATTCATGTTTGGTTAGAGGCGGATTTGCAGGCTTGGCCGTCGGCCATGTAGAACTAGCCGTCCCTCTTTATTACTTCTATACATAGCGAATTTAAAGTTACTTTCTGGGCGTTTATTGAAGTAGAAATTTTTTAAAAACTTTATTGTGATATGTCTTGGATAAAAAGTAGACTTTCCAGTACCCAATATTTCATCGCTCAGCTTTTGGTACACAATATTTTATTTACTTCGGATCATTTCTTATTATCATCAGTATATTTTATGCCATTATTTTCCACCCCTAATATCTGGCGGCCTTAGGCCCAGACCTGTTTTAAGGTAAATCATGTGGCCTTAGGTAGATATATCTACTATTTCGTCAAGGCAAATAAGGTAGTTTCGGTGAAAACTAAGTCACGAAATTGCACAAAAACTAAAATTTACATCGTAATAAACACAGAGATTCTCATTCTGAGTCTAAAAAACGCACGATCGTGTTATCATCTTAAAATTAAAGTCAAGATTTTTGTCTGTGTGTCACGTGATTGAAACACGACCCTCCATTGTCACTGTGACGATAACTGTCAGATTAATTATAAACCAAATTTCTGGATGGTACTGTTCTTAGCTTATTTATATATTTTTATTTTGTAATCGATCGTTAGATGGCACTGTTCTTGTTTTATTGACATCGTTTAATATTCTACTCTATGCATCTGTTTTGTGTACATATTACGATGAATATGACGGACAGCGTCGTCGCAGGTATAAAAGAGTTTAAATGTTGTTTTATTTTTAAGGCACAAAAACATGTTTATTTTCCGAAATATTTGATTTTTCCTTTTTTTTTAATTAAAATAAACACAAGAATTATTTCAAACAGAGTAGAATAGGCTATTATTTGCGATGTAGCTGTACAGAGAAAAACGAGCGCTAGAACAAAGGTGAGATACATGTCTTGACCTCTCCGACATCCTGCATCTAATAATTTAATAATTTCTTCCCTTAGCGGCGGCGGTACCTGGAGACCCAGCGTTACTCCTACAGGAAGTCTACCTCGCCCTGGCACCAGACCACTAGGGTCTACACCCACGCCTGTCACCAACACCTCGCTGAAGGCAACACCGCAGCCGTCACGTAACTTCGGCTCTGGACATAACAATGTTGCCAAACCATTTGGATACGTGAGTGTTTTAATGTAGTTGCCTGGAGAATGTCACTGAGCTATTACCATTTTGCATCGCTGCATAAGTTATTTGAATTTTTTTTTAAGCTTCATGTGAGAAAATATGAAATTTTAATATTTAAGTATTCTACTTAATAGTGTACACTTTTCGTAAAATAACCTAAGATACACAAAAAGTGATTATTATATTTAAGAAAGTTTGAATAATGGAAAATGCTTAAAACCACCAGCCACCAGCAGGTACACCGAGATCTGATCATCATCTCGGGTTACCTGACACTGGTGGATTTTTTAAGCACTTTTCATTAAATATAACCAATAATGTTGGTTTGTGTTTCTTTTTATAGATGAATGGTGGCGGTGACGCAGTCAAGAGCATCGTTAACAAACAGTATAATACACCTGTCAATATGTATAGCGACAAAACGATCGCAGAGACCCTCTCAGCTCAAACTGAAGTCCTAGCGGGAGGTGTCCTTGGGTGAGCCGAAAATATTAAAAGTTGTCAATTTGACTGTTTCAAATGTACGGTCCTGTGTTCCCTTAGTTTAGACAAATCAGTCAATAATCGACTTGGCGGTAATGGTCATGTTAGCATTACTTTTGCTACAACAATATTCCTTGAGTTTAGAGCATATATAGGTTTTGGGAAACCCTCTTAAACCAAATTAACATTACTAATTGCAATGTCTTAATGTCGTTAGCATTCTGTAGGTACTTTTATCCTTTTGTAGTTCTCAAAATGTCATTCAAAATTTTGTACATTTACCAATCAGGAAAAATAATGAATTAATCATTTATATTGTTGATGTAATCATAATATTTAAAATATAAATAAACATTTCCTTTTTAACAGAGTAAATTTCAAGAAAAATGAGAAAACATATGATGCTGAAAAGAGTGCCGTATTCAAAGTGCTGCAGGAAGCTGAAAACGATCCTGAACCAGGTATCTTGTGGGTTAACTCAAATGCTTCACATATATACTTCAAAGAAATATTTCTTTAGAGTACATATGTATATTGCTACCAGCGCTCGAACGGCTTTAATAAGTATATATAATTTGACTAAGATGTCTTAGACAATTTTCATCTGTATATAGTATCATCGGTTGACTCCAATCCAGCCCCAGCCTTCATAAATCGTCGTTCTAATGTCTGAATCTTATATGAAAATCGGTTTTATTTGTTTCATTTCAAATTCAATTTTGATGTCTCGATCAAAATTAACTATGTATGAATTGGCACATAGTAGAAGTGGCTCCGAGTGCCGCGCCACCTGTGAGCGGTCTACGGCACGTGCCGGCGCCGGTTACCCGTCCCGACGCGCCCATCAACAATACCGGTGGATTACCCCCCGGACAGAATATATGCGAGGAGTGCGAACGACTCATCACGTAAGTCGCGTTGCACGCGCGGCCGACACGTTGGCAAACCGTCGGAGGTTCCAAATTTAAACCCGTCGTTTAGGCGAAATTCCCTCACCGGCATGACACCAGAGTTAGCCCTCGCCCGAATCCTCGCACTATTGAAGTGGAATGTTACGACAGTCATTCGTTTCGACAATTAAGACGTTAGTAGTCTAATTTGAAGTTTTTATTCTATTTATTTATCAATGAAAATAAGTTTTGCTTATATTAGTTCCGCGCTTACAGAATACTAACTATTGTATTGTATTATTTGTCATTTCGAAACATTTTCTTTTTACTTTAGACAAATAGGTACTTACAGTATATAATTGTAAAACAAGATTTATATTTTCATTGTTAAAAATATAAAACTATCAAATTAAGAAAACTAGCGTCATCTGTCAACGAAACGATTGTAATCGTGACGTATAAATAATGTAATGTTGCGCGCCGACAGAGGCGTGTCACTTTTATTCGCGCGCGAGCGTGGCCCGTGCCGGCACGCCGTGCAGCCTGCACCGCACGCACCGGTCGAGGTCCCGCACACCGCACGTGTCCTTCACGCCGCAACCGTCGCCGGCGCCGCCAACGGCGCGCGCATGCGCCGGCACACAAACGCCGGCGCCGGAACCGGAACAGCTTTCCCCGGCGGCCGCGCACCGACCCAGCATCCCGGTTGGCTGCCATCAAGTGTTACCGGACGGTCGCGTCGCCCTCGGCGCGCCGGCCGTCCCCCAGCCGGAGTCCGGCTCTCTCCCCGTCGTCAACGACACGCCCTATTGCTCCGACTGTAACCGCTACATTATGTAAGAGGCGTCCCGTGGAATGCCTAGACGTGTTTGCGACCGTGTCGACCTGTGCCTAGTTTAATAAGTGTGCAGTAGATATTATGTTCGATGTGTTTGTGCCGCGGTCTTCTGTGTTCACATCTTTTGTAAATACTGTGGTTCAATATGTAAATATGTCCGAAAGGAGACCGCGGCATTCCTTGTTCGACCAACGCGCTCGAAGTAATGTTGCGATGTTTGGGCAAGGACCGTTATCATATTTCACTTAGATTATAATCTTTCATCTCTTCATCTGTAGTAGTTAGGCGGAATGGTAATAATAGAGAATGTGTATCGAGTAGGGCAGATGTATGTTCACTTGGCATGTCTCGTCGTTTTTTGCACAACGTTTAGAAGTATTCGTTCGCTTGGTAAAACTGATAAAATCGCACGACGGATTGGCGAGCATGAAGTATTATTTAAGTAAGAATCTCGTTGTTTAAATCATAAGTCAGACATAATAATTATGAATCAGACACTCCTCGCAGGAATACTTATAAAATCAATTTCTCTTTAGCGGCGTATTCGTGCGCATCAAGGATAAGAACTTGCACGTGGAATGTTTCAAGTGCTCGACTTGCGGTACTTCGTTGAAGAACCAGGGTTACTACAATCTAAACGGCAAGCTATACTGCGACATCCACGCTAAGTTGGTGGCTCGTCAGAATCCGCCCGCGCCGAACCTAGACCCCGTAACTGTGCCACCGTGAGTAAACACTTCCTTAAACCAAACTATTTTTATGTATGTTTACTCGACAGAGAAGTATGTACAGTATACGATTACTGTAGATCTGGAAATGTGAGCCAATCAGAACGATTCAAGTATTACACCATTGGGCGATACGCATGTCTGACCCGCACTGCGTGAGTGAAACGGACACCTCTTGCGTTGTATTTTACACCTCACTGTTATTGAAATAAAATTCATATTTGAATCGTACGTTCAGTCTTGTAATTTAAAGGTTTGCTCTGCGCAAACTAAGAACTGTCATATTGGTGGGATCTTACGACACAAATAATATCTATAGTACTATGTTAATGTTACTTGTACAAAAAGGATGGCTTCAGTCCCCATCTATATTAATATTATAAAGATGAAAAGTTTGTTTGTTTGTGTGTTTGAACGCGCTAATCTCAGGAACTACTGGTTCGAATTGAAAAAATATTTTTGTGTTGAATAGACCATTTATCGAGGAAGGCTTTAGGCTATATAATATCACGCTGCAACTATTAGGAGCAAAGAAATAATGGAAAATGTGGAAAAAACGGGGAAACTTATTCATCCTTGAGGGCTTTCGTTGCGTGCGCTGCGAAAACGGTTCAAGATACCAAAAATATATGTATGAAAAACTATGCTATGTTAACAGCAACCATTGTTTACTACTCAAATTGTAATTATATCTGTGTCATGCTATGAATCGATACCCAAATAAACAATTCCCTAGGAATCACGCGAGCGAAGCCGCTGACGGAAAGCTAGTCGCCTAAAAGAAGATTTAAAAATCTATTCATATTACCATAGTTATGTGTAGATATAATATTGTTTGTTTTTCAGTTTCAACAGATAATATTTATAACCTTTTTCATATTTAATCAAAACGGATACACTAAATAGTAACAAATGAAATTAATTTTTGCATTTAAATCTGACTTATTATAATATATTAAGTAATAATTAAAGTTTTTTCTTAATTTTGTTACAGTGGTGGTCGTCTGCCCACAAACACTTATTCGACCCCATTACCCCCACTCTCGACCAACAATTACACAAACGGTTCATCATCCCTCTTTAGTGTAAGTAAAGTTACTCGTATTTAATTTGCTTTAACCAGTACACAGAATACCAATTTTTACAACTAATTTAAGCCTTAATGCAATCCTCATAGAGTTCAAAATGTTTTCAATTTAGTAAATCAATAAAAAAATACCTTTATAGTAATATTTTTTCATATCATTAAAGTATTTAAGTTTACTTTAGTTTTTACCCGACTACAACGAAGCGAAAAGGAGGGTTATGATTTTGGCCGGTGTGTATGATCAGCGGCTATTATAATATAGCTATCGCTATAAAATAAATTTCTAGTGGTAACTTTTTAGAACGTCATTTAGCTGTAGTCGGGTTTAAGTTTTTGAACTTATTTTTGATTCATATAAAAATAAATAAACTAATTACTTTTCAATTTTTGAAATTAAAACTTATCTTTAAAATTACTTAAACTATGTAAATCAATGAAGACGTTGACGAAATTTATCATTATCATTTTAAGAATATGGTCATTTTCATTGATAAAAAAAATCTTTTATTCATAAGGTCGCCAACTGTACGTCTTCTATTTTCTTTTGTAATTGTATTTTGTTTTGTGTGTATAATAAAGAAATTATATCTATCTATAACACTAACGCCATCTATTGTCAGTTACAATCAACAATACAGTGATGCACGTTAAATGAAAATATGTCCGTATTCTAAAATAGCCGTCCAGCAACCTGTCGGGACCGAAGCCGTTCGGCTCGTCTATCGGGTCTGCGTACTCGCCGTCTCTGTCGCCGCGGTCGGCGCCGATGTCGCCCGCTCGGCCCGTCGCTGCGCCCGCGCCCGCTCCCACTCTCGCTCCCGTCCCTGCGCCATTCGCACCGAGTAAGCGAGTCACATTTGCAATATAAAATTTAAACCAAAATGTATACATGTAATTTTTTTTACATTTTAACCCTTTCACAGTCTACAAATAAAATAAAGCTAAACTTATAGTTATTAGACATTCTATCGAACTTATTACATCAGTAAAAACATAGTTTTAAAATTGTCATTTTTAATACCATGAGTTAATGATTTAAATGTTAAAGAAGAAGTATTTAAAAAAGGGCTATTCGAAATTATACTAGACGTTAATACGTACAGTCAGCATGTTAGGTTGCACAAATCGGTCAAATTCTTTCATTTGTTTTAAAACCTTAATGTACCCTACATTTGACAATGAATTTCGTTTATCGACAAAATATAACCTGCAAAGCTGATATGGGTACTTTAAATCATTTGTAATGTTCAATCGAATTGTCTTACATAAGCATTTCTAATGTTCTTCCTCATTTATAAAAATAAGGAGTTTATAAGGAAAGATATTGTCTTTGATAAGCATTTCTAATGTTCTTCCTCATTTATAAAAATAAGGAGTTTATAAGGAAAGATATTAAACGTAACAATAAACATTCTAAGCTCGAGGATTGAATTGTTATCATGTTTATATCGGTATTTTTAGTAACGACTGTGAAGGAGTTATAATGCTTCCTTTGTTTCCACTTTATAGTTTACTGCACTGTTCTAAGGTAGAACAAATATTTCTTTTATACCGCTTTTATTTTATTAAATAGTGCAATTAGGAACAAAGGTATTATTATGTTACTCCAAATGAAATGGCATAGCGCCAAATAAACGGGTCGTACATAAACTAAGTATGTTCAAAATATTTTTTATTTCATACTTTTCTAGTGAAAGAGAGGTTGTGATGAGAGAGAGCGAAGATAATTTTATGAAAAATAAAATTTATATTAACTGAATTATTTTTTATATAAATGAAAATTTTATATTTTTACCACGTTTTTATATGTATTACATTTAACTAACAGTATTATTGTTGGTATCTCATTTATACAAAATTATATGTAACATATTACTTATAAACTGCAAGTTCAAATTAATTGTGAAGTATAAATGGCTTTTCAATATGCCAAATCAGATTAAAGAATGTTATAAAATTATTATTTATTTTCAACAGAGGTCCCAGTGTCCCTTTTTAAAGGTAATTTATAAATATATGGAGTATAAATAAGCTAGGCTCAGCTTACAGTAGCTAATAATTTATTTTGATATAAAATAATTAATAGTATGTGTATAATATTATATATAGTATAATTATAATCGCAGAATAACTAGAATGCGCTACGCGGGCAGCAAAGCCAATCACAACATTAACAACTGCTATCCAGGCATCAAGCATCTGTCGAATGTCAATATATCATGTGGTACAAAACTTTAGTGCCTAAGACGTTCCGTCAGAAATTTAACATTCTCGCTTCCAATTTTTAAACAATTAGTTATTTAGTCACGTAACTTTTCAAATTAACTGATATTTACTTTCATTTTCTTTCCCTTTGCCCATTTTAACTTATTCGTGATCAAACTAACAGCTCAAAATGTGAAAAGTATTGTGTGGCCCCCACCAAACCCCCCTGATGACGAACTGCCTAAAAAAGATTCTTCGCAATGTAATGAACTACATGCCGAACAAATGATAACAATGGTTAGAGACATGACATGTCAAATACCTGAAAAAACAAATAAATACGTCAAACAAAATATATCTTCAACCGAAGAAAAGTCTGAGTATACCTCCAATGTGTCTTACGCATCTGCTACAACAACATCGTCAAAATCAGCATACTCAATACAATCTCAAGAAACTCAAGAAAAACAGAGTAGTCATATCATTCAGTCATCCTCAGAAAATTCTTCAGCAGAAAGCCAAAGTCTGATGATTTATCAATCGCAGGTTAATCCTCTAGATAAAATTAAAGAAAAACCAGAATCTCAAAGCATAGTTAGTTCATCGGAGTTCACAGTAGCACAAGAATCAAAATCAATTAGTACATTTGTTACGTCCAAAGATACACCAGATGCTAACGTGATTCCAAATTTGACAAAAGATGAAAAAAATAAAGAAGAGAGTAAACAAGATTCTACAGGTGAAGCAGTTTGCACAGCTGTTTCTTCTGAAACGAAGAGTAATAAAATTGAAGATAAAGGAAAAGCTGAAATAACTGAATCTGATTTTTTGGCAAATGAATCCATATCAAAAGAAAATTGTCGACCCTCAGGAATACAAAATGCATCTTGTGAAACCACTTCGACTACCAATGAAATGGTGACTTCTAAAGAGACAATAGCGACCTCGAGTAATGTTATAAACGAAGTAGTTAACAAACAAATTACTCAAAATGATAATACTATAAATTTAAAACAAACACCTCCTTCATTCAACGTTGGGCCAACAATGTCCATGGTTGAAGCATTAACTGTGGTGTCCGATCGACCCTATTCACCTTTGTCTACCAATCTAGTTAATCCAACTCAGCCTCCTGAACCCATATCTGCTCCTAGTGTATCCGAATTACAAATAAATAATAGCATTGATAAATCTGAAGTACCACTACCAGCTGCCCCTTCTCCAATGTTTACTCAACAGCCAAAGAGAGGCGTTACCCCAATTCAACCAATAAAAACCTATAATCCGCCTGAATGTAAAGATGATCCTATACCGATGCCTCCAGAGACGAAACCTTACATTCCTCCAGATTTTAAGATAATCATTGAACCAAAAGTACCAAGAGAAGAAACTTCTTCGCCTATGATAGATGCATTAACAACAGCACCCAACCGACCATTTACACCAATGCAAACGCAGCCCATAGAACGTGGTTCTCTAAGAGAAGCTTTAACTATTGCTCCAGATCGGCCTTACAGTCCATTGCCTTTATCTGCAGCTACGCTATCCAATCATAGTCACTATACCTCAACTTCGACGGTACAGGTTCAATCAACTTCTTCGGAAATCATCAGACCAATAGCAACTCAAAGTACAACACAACACGTTGATGAATTTCGTTCAGAATTTTCTTCAATGCAAAACACTTATAACATACAATCAATATCAAATACATCCGCATTTAGACCAGTAGCAAAACAAGTATTTCCCCCACCTCAACCTGAAGAATTTTGTAAGCTTGCAACTTTTCCTCCGATTAGTGATGAATTGAAAACTAGTTTTGAAAAATCAACACGGAGCAAACAAGAAACGATGATATCAGAATCAAAAATGGCTCAGCAAACACTGCTTACAACGAGCAACATGAGCACAGCAGCTCAAGGGTACTCTTCTGTGAAAAGTGCTCAACAATTTTTTGAAACATTAGACCAAAAGGAAAGTTTCTCTTCAACAGCTGTGAGATCTAAATCAGGTCTGCAAAAACCCGATAAAATTCCTTCTTATCAAAAACATTTCGACCAGTTACCATCACAAAGAGGCATCACGCCAGAAATATGCAACGCGCCTGCTATCCTTCAACGACCAGTAACGCCTTCCACGGGAAACCCGTCTAAGCCAAGAGAAAAATCTCAAGAACCGAAATCTTTCCAATCCAGTATTCCGTCAGAAATACCATCTTCAAAACCTTTAGAAAGATCGCCAGCACAGCCAACATACACACAATTTCAAAGAAATACTCCCATTTCTATGACTTTCCAACCTGTGACTGACGAAAACTTTTACAGATCTTCTCCTGTGCGTAGCCGCCCGACTACACCCAGTTTAATAAATAAACCTGCCCCTATAATACCACATTATCAGATGAATTTAGTAACCGTAGAACATTTGGCTCCCGAATGTCATTTATATGACCCATCAAGCCGAGAAGGTAGCCGTTCCCCTACACCAAAGCTAAGATCAAAATCACCAGCACAGGGCCCACCACCAAATCCTTTAAAAGCTCAAGCACCTCGCCTTAAAGAAGGTACACCACAACGTCACACGTCTCATACGTTGCTTACTCAAGCAACTGCAAACCTGAGAAAAGAGCATGAAAAGGACATTAGATCTAACAGTAGTGAAATAATGAACGTTGGTAACAATTGGCCGCAAAATCATCCTATAGTTGAAGAACAAAGACATTCTAATATTGGGTATAAAAGTGAAACTTACAAGAAACAAGATATGAATATAAAAGAAGATTCAATGATAAATCAAAATTATGGTCAGAGGAAAATGCAATCACAAAATGTAATGGAATATGGTAACACAACTGTGCAAACTACAAGAAAAACTTTTGAAGAATACGAAAAAACTCAATCAGCAAAGACTATACAAATTCAAAAAGGTGGTTTGTCATCATCAACGGGTTATCCACAAATTGATACCAATATTAAATCATCTAGTATTCATCCCACGCAAGTGTTTCCACCCCCTATCATGAGTGTGTCCGCAACCCAGCAAAGTTCATCTCTTAACCTGACTAACGAAAGTTTGGTCAATGCTAGTAGATCTATAGAAAGTTGTCAACCAAAGCCTTCGATTTCTGGTGCTAACCAAGGTCCAGAGTGTGATCCTACCCCATCGACAGGTTCCAGTGTAGGAGCTGCAGCTCGCGGCAAAACTTTTGGTGTCTCTTCCGCACCCAAACGAGGAAGGGGGATATTGAATAAAGCTGCGCTGCCCGGCTCTAGAGTGCCCCTTTGCGCTTCCTGCAATGGGAATATTAGGTGATTCGTGTAAACAAGGATATTTTAAGTGTTGTTTTTGTGTGCAGCATGCATGTGAATTGAATGAAACTTTTATGGTCATTGAATATTTTAGTTGAATATTGTACATTTTACTTCGTTTTACCCCTATGATGTAAGATGTCTGTTAGAATAACAGTCCGCTAACTCAGATAAGCTTTTTTTAACATCGTTTGTTTACGAGTGTTTTGTTTTTTTTTTCTAACAGTTATAGATTCGCAGTCTAACAGCAGTCCATCTAAAACGGATTTCAAAAGTCCAGCTGAGGAACGACTTATACGAAAAATGGCAAAGATGGCATTAAATGGATATGAAATTGGAATTCAGAGAAAAATTAAACCTGCTGACCACATTCAATCAATGGCCGATAAAATTCAAGACACTGTTGTTACCAAGCATCCTTTAAATGCAGATGTCTCATCTGGGGAAAGCAGTAGTGATAACACCTTAAAAAGGCCATCAAATAAATCTTTTGACAAGGCTAATAAGCCCCAAGATAGTATTTTAAGTTTAGGTGACAAAATCAAAGAAACTATAATAAGTAACCATCCAATAACGATAAGTTCTGCTAATGGTAATGCGCATGTCCCACCGCCACCACCAATACCGAAATCTCCAATACCAACTTTCAATGTTCACAGCACACCAGTTGCCCCTCCAATGAACAATAAAAGACCTTCAGATTTTATTCCCAAAAATCTTAACTCTAATTTGATATCAGACAGCTTTGAAAAGACGCTTAACGGAAGTGGACATTATAATAAAGAGGATTTCAATAAAGACAACAATGATAGTGGATCTAATACATTAAGAAAAAAGACATGCTTGGAGAAATCTTCCTTCCTCAACGGAATGAATGCAATTAACAACGACATTTTTAAACATAACGATATTTACAATAACAAACAAGAAATAAAATTAGATAACAACACTTTAAACAAGAAAAAACTATTCGAAAACCGCGAACCTGTAAAAGGTTCGAATAACACTTTAGACAACATGGGAAATAAATTTTTTGATAAAAATAATATAACAGATTTTAACACGTCTAATAAACTAATTTCTGATAAAACAACTGATATCAATAATCTCAAGAACACTTTTCAAGATGAAGAATATTCCAGCCTTCCTAATAATTTACACGACAATACTCTTTACACCTACAAATCTGTGAATAATGATTCGATCACTGAAAATGAGCATTCTAATGGAAAAATAGATTTGAAAAATGAAGCGACAGCGCTGAATGGCGATGAAATGACAGTGCTTAACGGTGGTGAAGGTATGGACAACACAGATTCAAGTTTGGTTGTTAGGCGTAGACCGAAAAAAAATACAAAGAACGATGACGGCCGAAGGGATTCTCATATTATTGCTCGACCACTTAGTACAATGACTTCGACAGATGTATCTGAAGGACTGATCCCAGTATGTCACAAATGCGACAAAGCAATAACCAGGTAACGCTACGTACAATATTTTGAGTTAAATATAAATTCAAATAAATCCAAGTAAGTTTTAGTACATTTCCGTGTGTGTAGTTCGTCTTTTGCACGAATGTTGTTTTCCTTTCAATAATCATTAACACAATAACTTTCAATCATGATTTGGAATTCAAAGATAATATTGATTAGTTACATTTTATTGTAACTATGAGTTTTATTCAATTATTTCTCTGAACAGGGGACCGTTTATAACGGCCTTGGGTCGCATTTGGTGCCCCGAGCATTTCATCTGCGTAAACGCTACCTGCAGACGTCCGCTACAAGACATCGGCTTCGTAGAAGAGAACGGCCAACTTTATTGTGAATACTGTTTTGAACAATACATTGCACCAGCATGCGACAAGTGTCACGCTAAAATCAAAGGCGTAAGTACCATCACAGATTATTTTCTAACGCTATTATACAATATCAATTATACATTGATATCTAGCAGCGCCGTATACACTTATGAATTTTGAAAAAGATTTATTTATCGACTCAATGCAGGCTGAATTTTTTTAAGTTACCCTTAAGAAAGTTATGTTATCTTTCTTGTAATGTATGTTAAAAAACTAATAAATGTATTGATTTTATGTTTTAGGACTGTTTGAATGCCATAGGAAAACATTTCCATCCAGAGTGTTTCAACTGTGTTTACTGTGGGAAATTATTCGGTAACAATCCATTCTTCTTAGAAGATGGTTTGCCATATTGTGAAGCAGGTAAACACATTACAAACGGAGTTTTAATTTTTATATTCAATGTAGCGACTTATAACAAATTATACATTATTTTAATCGACAGACTGGAATGAGCTGTTCACGACGAAATGTTTCGCTTGCGGATTCCCTGTGGAGGCAGGCGACAGGTGGGTCGAGGCGCTCAACAATAACTACCACAGTCAGTGCTTCAACTGCACGGTGCGTATGATGCGAGCCTTACAAAATAAAACAAACATACTCAATACTATTCTTTTGAAATCATGATATTATTACTGTTTCTCCATCATTCTAATTATTTATAAATTCATTCAATCCTCAATGTAAACATGAAATAGTCAAATAGTTCACAATTTCACATAACCTTGTAAATTGCGTTTGACGCCGAATGCCATTTAAAAAATAATGCAAAAAATTGAGACAACACACACTGGAAAGTGTTTTTAAATTCATAATTTGAGATTATATTATAATCAAAATAATTGTCAAAGTCATGATTCGATTAAATGTACACACATTTACAAAATTTACAAAACTAGTACGAAGCTCGTCATACGCTGCCACAACTGTGTTAATTTTCCCTGAATTACCCTAACAAAGGAGTGTTGTGTTTGTCATAGAGTGTATCCCCGTTAATTTTGTATTATTATATAAACAGAAATATATATACAAAAGGTAATTTTTAAAATTATTGAGTATTTACCAATAAGACTTAAAATTGTTGTTTGACGACAATAAAACCTTTTGAAGACTACAATATTAAACTAAAACCAAAAATTTTGATACTTTTAATGTAGTCGAGGAAATAATTATAAAATATTATCTGAATAAATAAAATTACCTTGTTTGTATATATTAATACAGACATCCTCAAACTTCCAACAAATCGGGAAGCAGTAGTTAGAATTATTGCATAAAAGTGTTGTAAATATTTCATGACAGTGTATGTATATTCTATTTTATAAGGCGTAATTAGTGCTTGGCAGAATGCTTAACCTTATATACTTATATAATAAGGTAGAACTGTTTTGGCTATTTTATGTATTTATTTTTAGACAATAATTGTTAGAAGATATTTAAGACAGTTTTTGCACTATTACTCTTAATATTTTTATTATATGTGGATTTAAATTTTTATTTTTTACCTAAAGGATGCATTAGATGCGTCCATAAATTACGTCACACAAAATTCAGGATTTTTAACTACACCTGCTGCATTTAATGAATATTCCGAATAAAAGCTTTTTTATATGTCTTGTTTAAATATTATTTTCAAATCAAATAGGTAAATAATATAAAATAATATTATAACAACTGTCTTTTGTTGAATACAAATTGAAGCAGAAACAAAGGTTAGGTACCATTAAGTATCAAAGTTTTGTAATCAACTTTTCAGTTAATAGTAGAAGTATTAAGATTTAAAATTAGTTGTATTTATATAAATTTGCAAAACCTGATATACTTTTCACTGCATAACATAAAAAAGAATTCTGTTATGCACTACAAAGTACAGTCAACTGCTCGTCAGATGATACAAAACTGTCAAATTTCCCCACTCGATTTGAAACCTTAATATTTCGAAGGTAAAGACCAAAATCCATTGCAGAAATTTGACATATTACGGTAACCCATAGTGCAGCCGTATGTACAAAATCTGATTATTCTATATAGGTACAGCTTGTATTAATAAAAAAATTTACGCACGACAATAATTTAGTAGTACTAAATAAAGCGTGTATAAACTTATAGAGTTATATGCTTAGGATCATAATAACGCCGTCGCTTATCGGTTTCAGGTGTGCAAAAAGAACCTCGAAGGACAGAGTTTCTTCGCCAAGGGAGGTCGGCCTTTCTGTAAGACGCACGCCCGCTAGTCCCCCGCAAATAATATACAACTCTGACACTGTTTATTCGACTACCACCTTCCGTCCCGTGTCTCCTTCTCCTATAACGCCACCGGCTCCCGATACTCCTTCACCGCAACGTACAAGAAAGTTGGAAACACCCCTCCACTTCGAGGGAGGGCTGTTTTCCGATATAAGAAGTAAAGATGGGAAGTTACTCAGTAAAGTAACGGTCGATCGATTACACAGTTCGACGCGCCACGATATCACGGATTCTCCTAGCGTGTTTGAAAGTATCGGATCAGACGGCAACAGGGATTATGTTAACGATATCGTCAAAACTGAAACAATTACAAACGAAGACGTAATAAAGATTAAATTTACGCCCGTGCCGCCCGAAATAGAGTCGCCTAGGCTACTCACTCCATCGCAATTTCACGTCAGTCCAACCAAAACACCAGTGGAGTATTTAAAAGATTATGAAGATTTACAGAGTTATAAGATTGTTAGTTCTTTATGTAAAGAGAAACATTTCGATACCGATTCATTAAAGGAGAAAAGTTTTGATCATCTGGCTGCTACTGAGCCAGTGAAACGGTCTCATAGCCCATTGGCTAACTTCCTAGTACCTGAACAATTAACCAAAATTGATACTCATTTACAAGAAAGTTTAAATGCATGCTTACCAGGTGAAGATAAAAGACAGATGACTCTTGTACAAGTTAAATTAGAAGGAGACACTGAGGTGGAAAGAAAAGAAACAGAATATTCAACTAAAGAAGAAACATGTACCAAGAAAGCTTTTAGTAGTTACCGATTTGAGAAAACAACTAGTGGTTGTGAAATCCCGCCCGAAACACTGCAACAACGAAACATTTCTGAACCGACCAGTTATATACCTAGAGATGAAATGATTATAGAGAGAAACGTCACAATAAACAGTGTCAAGGAAAATCAAGGAATCTTGAGTGCTATATATAATATGCCGATACATTATCACGCAGCCATCTTGTGTTTTATATTAATTGTATATAATCTTATATTTCAGTATATTAAAAAAAACTGTCATGGTCAAAAGTGAAAATATATTCAATTAAATATTAATAAACATATATGCATATATACTAGTCATTGAGTAGGAACAATTACTGTTGATTTAAATTACTACTTCTCGCTTAAGTTTATTTAATAATGAAATAGGAAGATGTAAATAATCACGTACAATGAATTCCTCTCTTCTTTAGTGTAACATCAATAATTAATTATTAACATTTTGGTGCTTGACACTACCATAAATGCTGCAGTATACAATCTTGTCTAATTTAAATTTAAGGCTTATGTATACAGCTTCCGGAATGTTGCAGTGAATTGTCACTAACATTAACAATGTAAACCTAATTTAAACAAAATTATGATGTAGGCCCACGAAAAAAAGGTTGATAATCAGAATATTACATTGGTGCACCAACTTATTATGTTACGTCAATATCATATTCAATTAATTCTTTCATAATATTATTCGAAACATGTAATACTATTTAATTTTTTAATCATTCTAATATCTAACGGTTATTATTATATAATCGATAAGTTTTACCGTATACAATTTTACGTATAATTATTAATTAATTAAGCAATTGCAAGAAAAATAAAATATTTGTAAACTTTTTTATCTACAGTTGATTGTAATGTTATTTTAAGAACTATTTATTTAGAAATTATTGCAATTAGCATACAAACACATAATATTATGTGAGCTTAAATAAAGTATTTTATTTTATGAATTGTATTTATTTCTGAACTATAAAACACTATTCTGTGAAAAATACTGATTATTTACAAATCACCGAATTTCAGAGAAATGAGATATTTTATAAACGACTAGTTAAATGTCTGCCCGGTATAGCCGTATGTTATTTTGTTTATTGTAGGGAAAATAAGTTACAATAAGTATTCATAATGTAGATCAGTCTTTCCCAAAATGGACGATAACGTCCCCTTGCGGATGCTGCAGGCATTAATGTCGGCGGTAAGACTTAAAAATGGGGATGTTGTATAGAGGCTTAAGAACAGTTAACACGAGACTTGTATGACTTGACCTACTGCGCTCCGGTCTCATTTAGAATCAATGTTTAATCTCCGCTAGTATAGCTCACAATAATTAATTTAATTTGAAGTTATAGTGATTTTTAAGTAGGTGAAAGGAGGGGGCTCTAAAATAATTTATTCTGAAATTGGGCAGGAAAAGAAATAAGTTTGAGAACCCCTGATATAGAGTATGATGAATATTCATCGTCGTTGGCGTAGACAATAATCCTGTTATAAAAACATAATAGCCATTTTAAAGGTAGGTACTTACTTATTGTTCATATAAACATATGACTTCAATAGAATTTTCATGAACATATAAACGGCCTTAAAAATAATTTTCACGTTCTTGGAGTCTGTTATATTTTCATTTATTATTTAAACTGTTATTGTCTTTAATCAAATTTATTAAATTCTCGTGTTACTTTTAGTTTCCATACTCCGAAGGGCTTATTCGATTTTGATAACATTTTATATGTATGCTAGCTTTCCGCCAGCGGCTTCGCCCGCGTGGTCTTGTATTATATATAAAAATCTTCCATTTGAATCACCCTATCTATGAAAAAAAACCGCATCAAAATCCGTTGCGTAGTTTTAAAGATTTAAGCATACATATGGAAGTAGGGACAGTGAAAGCGACTTTGTTTTATACTATGTAGTAATTCAATAAATGAGAATAGGTTTATCTATTTCATACCCCTAAGTGATAAGGCTAGTTCTCCACAAATTTATGTGGCAAGACGACTGCCCAGTCAGTTAGTGATATACTTAAATCAGATGTGGGTATAAAATTTGATGTCAACTTAATGCCTCATACAAATTGAGCGAACGAACACCAAACGTACAATCAAGAACACAACTTATTCTAACACTTAAAAGAACCAATCGCAGGCTATGGTAACGAATTGGCTTCGATGGAACCATCCGATTTAAGGTTTGATATTGAGTGTGCGTAAAGTTAGCAACAATTTATCATACGCCCAAATATCACTGGCCAACAAAATTTTAACTATTTTTTTGCCACGTGAAAACTTTTATATCAAATTTTGAATCTACTAGGGCCACCGAACCATAATATAGTAATGAAATAAACTTTAATGAGTAAAGGCTATTTTAAGTTGATGATTATTTTAGGGATCACAATGCATGGAATTAATAGCCTTCGCTTTGTTCTATAACGACTAATTATATGCACAACCTATCGCCTACAGATTTTGAAAGTTGTATTTATTATTGAGATAATACATATTATTTTGGTAATGACATGATTTATGTAAATGTCATTACTTATGATAAAAAACTGGTAAGTTTCTTTCGCTTGTTCTTCTTGTCAGCTAAAAGATGTCCTGAACAAATGGTAGGGGAAAAAAATTTTTTGGACGATTCATAAGTGCTTGTTATAAGCCTAATTGAATAAAGATATTTTCATTTCATTTCAAAAAAGTTATAGCTCGGAAGCATAGTGGATAAGCGCCACGGCCTAGAATCGTTGTTGAGCAACGGACATGGGAATAATCATTTCGAGCTACTCCGTGTTTCGAAAGGCACATTCGAGAAGTTGGTGCCGGCATTTGCAGTCGTTAATATCCTCCAATCCGCATTAGGTCAGCATGGAGTCATGGCCTATCCCCGTTAACTAATAATAACTAAATAAAAAATAAGGAAGGTCTGTGCCTGCAGTGGGGACGTAACAAGGCTGACGATGATTCTTACTGTTCCAGATGAACGGCGGTATATCAGGATTTCTTGTCAAAACATCAAACCATTTATGTTCGTTAAAAGTAGAAAAATTAACTTTTATCATGCCGAGCTTATGTCCATTGGTGATGAAATTATGTTATCAGGGATCCCTAAAGGCTAATTTTTATGGAGGTAGACCTGACACTACCTCTGACTGATGAATAGATAGATTTTTCAGATAATTAAAAGAACTATTCATTTTGTTCAAGGACAAATAAGGTAGACCCTCAATTGTCATGTTAATTTGTATGACTTTAAAGTGATTTATTTTATTATTAATTGCAAATAAAATACAAATCACACAAGGCGGACTTAATGCCTAAACCATTCTCTACCAGTCAACCTGAATAGATAATGGAGTTCAGTTATAAGGCGATAAGAATGAAAAAGTAAAATAAACACATACATACTAATCTATACTAATAACAAGGCTGAAGAGTTTGTTTGTTTGATTGAACTCTATAAATTTTTTGTGTTTAATAGCACCAATGAAAAAACGAAAATATATTTTACTTATTTAAAGCTTTACTTGTGTGCGCTGCGTAAACAGTGGAAGTTACATGTCTATCTTATATTATATCCCGCAAAAATGCACATAAAGGGATTAAAATGGAAGTGGAAGTTCGTAAAGTTCATTAAATCATTATCATTGAAACCATTGTTTACAATTCAATTTGTCATTGTAATTACATTAAATGTCAACCTTTTCCAAATCCATTATTTAATAATTTTAAGCTCTTTGCGCAGGATTAAATATTGTTTTAATTAATTCGAATTAGTACAATTGGTAGCGCTAATATTAAATAGCTATTTATCACTAGATGACACTACTATACTTTTGAAAACGTGATTTTAATTTTGGTTATATATGTAAGATAAAACCTTAAAAAAAATTGACTCCTCCCGTATATGTAAAGGATGAATTTTTTTTTAGCTTCTCATTGCGTGGGATATTGTTGGATAGGTGTTTATCTATACAGGGACTTATTTAGAACCTTACGACAAACCTACCCTACCTGTACTTCCCAACTGTAAGTATAGTTAATGAGCAGGCCAGAAGGAAAGATTAAATGTGAGAGAAAATCAATAGGTGGACAATAAATTACCCCCAGGACCACTTTAAAACCCATAATATCAACTTCAAGGAGTAGATATTCCATGTAGCCTGCACCCATTGAAGTGGAAGCCAAGTGTTTGAAACAAAAAAAAACTAGACAAGTTTATAACAACACCACCACCTTCTTAGTCTTTACAGTCATTTTGGATAAGGTTAATATGGAGTTATTAATGATATCTATAATCTGTTGCTAGGGCAGGCAAAAAAAAGAACAGAGCATTACAATGGAAACATTGATTTGATATTTTTGTTGCATTTCTGTCTCAATACTCAAATGTGTCTCAGACCATACATGCTTGAATCTGATAAGCTACTGATGTGCCACAAAAAAACTACAGAAAATGTGTTTATGCCAATATGCGAGTGTTGAAAGAAAACAATATGTATCTCTATCTGTTGATTGTTTCATTGAGGTAATGAACAATGACTTATACCACCCCCTACCAAAAAAATGTAGTAGTAGTGATACATATTATTCCCTTAGATAATATCTGTTTCACTGTCCTATTTTCTTCTGCACTAGAACCAACACTAGAATTATATTGACAAAACCATAGACTAAAACTCAACTTTATTTTTATTATTATAGTTTTATAGTACTTACATAATTATATTCATTTTATTAGTTTAACCATTAGAGGCTTTCGTACTCAAAGATTCTTGAAACTTTTGATCATATTCCTCGTCTCCAAAGATAAATTTAGAAATTCTAGAACAAATTAATATGCAATTAAAATTCATTTTACTTCACCAAACCAATCACGCAACAATCTTTGTATACAATTACAAACAAAGCAACTATATAAGTAGTACATAATATTCAAGAACTTAAAACTAATGAGAACACTGATAAAAGATAACAAGCAAATATTTATTATCACTGATTTTTAATAGGTACCTTTTACAAATTAGAAGATGCGTTACAAAATGCGTTAAAATTAGTACAACACAATGCCGAGCATACTCACACATCCCAATTTAAACCTAATCCGATAAAAGTAAAAGTCAAGAAGCCATGCCATAATGTTGTCACTGCTGGAATTGGTTCCCTTTTGTGTCCAAAGTTTTTGAAAGTTCTTGATTGACTTATCAATACTGATATCTTTGACTGTACTGTTTTTCTATTAAAATATGGTCTTAACAACATGTTTCAAATAGGTATGCAGGTATTTATGAAGTTAAGAGCACACACTTATTTCTAACACGTAATGGTTGATATAAACATGAAGAAAGGTCAAAACCAGATAAATCCTATGTTATCAAAGGATATATCCTAAAGATAGTATTATTTCATCCAAGTTAATTGATAAACCACGGGAAAGTAGTAGTAGTAGTAGTATTATAATTCGTCCATGGGACAGGCGAAGGAACTAAGCCATACAGCCAAATCTTGGGTTAAATCCACGGGAAAGGCAATAAGGCAATAAAATAAACAGACTACAACAAACAATGTGACAGACAGACAAATCAGCTGCTAAAAAGCGCGGGAAACGTTTAACTTTGGCGGGCGCGTTTTTTGATTTTAATATTTTTAACTAATACCTCTTGCATAAAATAGTGATCAGTTAATTGGTTTGTACTTACGTATTTATAGTGTATTTAAGTATTATTTATTATCTACTTTCTGGTGAGTCAAAATTTAATTAATATTTATTAGGTGTATGAACGAGCTTCCGGAGCCGGGGGGTTTTGTCCCCCCGGCTAGTAATTTTGTTACGATAGGATCGAATAATGAATCTGGTATGGATACGGATGGATCAGTAGCTAGTCGCTCTCTGAAAAGGAGTCGACTTCATGTATGCAAGCATTGCAATAAAAAAAGACGCAAACATAATAAAT